TAAGTTAAATACTCAATATTTAAACCAATTTATGTTTCAGATGTATTCAGATGTGTTGTTTTGTTTCATTGACAATTTCAATGAATGACTTCCAGTCCAAAAGACTTTTCAGCATTATAATTCATATTTGGAAAAATTAAATGGTTCGATTGATGAGATTGATTTTTGTGTTTGTGACAAATCGTTAGTTGTAAGTCCTTAATCTGAGTTTGCCGATGACATGAAAGTTTAGAAGCGGTTGAAAATAAAATAATTTTTAGTCAAAATAAATACAAAACCTATAAATTGTGAATATAATTTTGATATCGATCGCTTTTTCTTTTTGACTGTCACATTCATTATTGAAAAACAATTTTACAATTATTGTAAAATTGTAAATACAATTGTAAATACAAGTTTACAATTATTGTAGAATTGTAAATACAATTTTACAATTATTGTAGAATTGTAAATACAATTTTACAATTATTGTAGAATTGTAAATACAATTTTACAACGAATTGTATTTACAATTACAATTACAATTTACAAAAATTGTAACAGTACTGTGCAACAGGCCCCAGAAATAAATCAATGAATTGGTTCAGAGGATGATCAAAAACAAAACCTGCTTCAATACGTACCGGCATTTGCAATCGCAAAAGTAATCAATAACAAGAAATACAGCTTCATATTTGACTCTTATCAGGACGCAATTTCCAACGTCTTCGTTTTAAAATTTATTTCAGCACTTTTGCAAACGAAAGCTGAATTCAATATGCTTGAATTTGAATTCAAAATGAACGAGACCAACAATTATGTTGAAGCAGAGACAAGTTAACACTTAAAACTCATAGGCATAACTGACTTTCGTGTACCATTTGTTGACCTATTATATCCAGTTCTGACCAAGCAAGTGTCGAAGAACAATGTGACTGACTTCGTTCGATACATGTGCACAGGTAGTAAAGTGTACAAGTTGTATGTTTGTAACAAAATGCGAATTCGGAAGATATTCAACGAGACATTGAACGATTAGCCAAACAATGGAATTTGTTATGAAGCTCGCCAACTCATGTTATATAGATGAGTCGTTTAAGACGACATAGAATCGACTGGACACATAAAGCATCACAACCATAAAGATGCGTACCAGACATTAACATTAAGTTGAACTGTGTTTGAGGAAAGAATTATTATTTTAAGTCATTATCTCTCTGCATGGATCAATTAGGTATCAAAGATGAAGACACTCAGCGGAACCTGTAGTACTAACTGAAATTGCAGTCTAGTCACATGAGATGTTCATTTGAAGTTCAATTTGACAACAATATTTATCACAAAGGCTGCAACAAAAAACGAGGAAATTATGAGACGGATTTGAGACGAGACACTTAAATGAAATCGAATGCTATTTTATTTTGATCAAATATGCACACAATTATGACTGTCTAATGGACAATATTTTCAAATTACATTCAAAATATAGAAATGTGTTGATTACACAACATTTCTACGGGGAAATACTCTAGTTTGTTTCTATTGTGGGGTTAAATTCGTTGGTCTTTCACATATAACACGATAGATGTCATCACAATCATCATTGGACCATTTTAAATCAGCAGAGTGCCAGAGTTCAATGCAACGTCTACCTCCATAGTAAGTATTCGGCTGATTTTCTGCCCAATCAGTGAAAAGTAGTTTCTTGCCCGTAGTCAACCAATAGTATACCGTATCACCTAATTTAGTACCGGATGTCCAGAAAGTTTCATCCACGGTGCCTATCAAAAAAATTGAAATCGAAAAGGTATGCATTAAACTTAACAAAATTATTATAGATGTATATATGTTCAAATGAAATGGTTTGACAGAAATATGTGCTTACCAAGATCTCTGATCACTTGCTTCACTTTATCACTTTCTTCTTTCGACGAAATGCTCAATAAATGCATACCAATAGCGCGGCAATATGCATTAGCCTTATACCAATTGGTCTGAAAATGTGAATATGTTTCAAGTTTGCAAGCAAAAAAAAATGAGATTACCGTGAGGGGGAAATTACTTGATTCTTAACAAAAATCGTAAATGTTGTGAAAGTATATCTTGAGAGTAACGAAAATGTTTCCATAGCAATTAAAAATCATATTGTTACTTCAGAAACAACAAAATCAATTCAAAAACAGTTTTTCATGAAATAATTTCCTCCTTGGATTGATTACCAACAACCTTGGCTTTGATTGTATGTAATTTAATAACTTTATTTAAATAATATTGACATTATTGAGCAAATCTTCATATTTACCTTAAAAAATGGTTCTACATGATAATATTTTTCATCTGTCTGATTCGTAATAGAAGAACCAAAAATGGAAACTGCAAAAAAAAACAGATCGGATTTATTAATTCACACAGTTGATGAAACATAAAGAAATGAGTCCAAACTTCTGGAGAGTAGTCTCAATTAAAGAATTGCATATTGGCAATTTCATACATACCGACTCCTGCCAAAGCAATGATGAAGATCAAATATAGCTTCATTTTGCTCTCCTCTTCAAAATCGATGTCTTGAAAAATTTTCGAATCAATTTACGTTTCACTTAGACAATGACTAATTTAAATAATTCGTGGCATAAAATGCAACTGATTTCAGCTCGAGCATTGAAGCGTTTTTATATCTGTTTCCTATGAAGGCATTTTCGTTTACAACAATGTATGGCGGTTTCCAAAAATTGATATAATGATGATTCATCTGACAAGAAATATGATTTGTGCTTTTAATTATCTCATTTCAATATTAAAATGGGATTTGATGTGGCTAAATAAATGCGTGAATAAGCAAAATGATTCTTCATTGTAAATGTACTCAATTTAAATAGCGTTTTCATGACAAGCTTTATCACAAAATAATCCCAGTCGAATAATCCCCGTTTTTTCTTCACAATGACTCATTCCATGCTTCATTCAATAACAGAATGAATCACACACATTTGTAACGAATTCACAACGTGCTACTGCGTTAATGTTATCACATAGTTCTGATTCATGTTCGTGACAGATAAAAAACCCCAATCATTTTACCATTTCAAGTAGCAGTGATCCGTTAAAAAGTTCGTAAATATAAATGAAAAAAAGTAAGTCAAGTAAATACAAAGCAAAACCTGGAAATATGGAATATAAGGATGAGCTACATACTTCCATAAAAGCCTCATTGTCATGGGTTTATTTAATGGTTATCATTTCGACATTTCAAAATTGGCGCGATAATTTATTTGTGGTCAAACATCAAATTATTTGTTTGAAATTTAATGGAGAAGATGTATCGATGCGTTCAGTGGACGCAATCTTGCCGCTTCTGTGCCACTTTTTTCAATTCCAACATTTGTAGCTTGAAAGAAAGGAATTTCCACATAAAAACAAGTAAATTGTCATATGCAAATGCGAATAAGCATTTCCATCGTGTTTCAGTCAAATAAGTATGGCTACAAAATAATAGCTGTGTTTTTTTTCCAAACTGTAGAATAGATATGCGACGAATTTTTGATGTTGACGCTTCAAGACTTCTGTTGAAAATAGGTAAAAAGAATACTTGAAACAAACGAACAATAAAAGAAATGGATGGTAATTGACACTTTTTATTGAGCTTAAGTATAAATGTTAGATAGACATGTATCAATGATTGATATTGGATTCATACAAAGAAAGATCTATGCATAAAAATGGAAATGTCAGAACGGATTCGTCTCAAGACTACTAGTGGAGCACATCTTCTTCACACATGATATGATAATCGTTAGAGCACGAATTAACATACCAGCCCCAGTTATAAACCGTAAAGCAATCTCCTCTATTATCTGGTTCACCGTAAGCCCAATTTGTAAAATTTATCTGTTTAGCGCTGTCAAACCAATGAAAACGACCATCAAACCTCCTTCCTGAGGCCCAAAAGTTTAAATTGTTATAGCCTAGTCAATATAAATCAAGATTTAATAAACAAAAATAAAATTTTTCCAGTCGCTTGCTACAGTTACCAGCGTCTTGAATTATCTTTCCAATTTGATCGTTCTCTTCTTTCGTTGAAATGCTAATCGAACGCATGTCCTTTAAGCGACAGTACATATTTGCTGTCAACCAGTCACCCTGAAAATTTATTGAATTTTTAAAACCATTTTAAATTAGAATGATTAGTGACTAATTTTAATACGAATGAAACAAACAATGTAAAAAAGTGTACCTTAAACAATGGCAATATGTGGTAACGCTTTTGCATTGACGTCAAGGTGGTCGTTCCCGCACTATCAGTAGAGTTGCCAATAGAAGCTGGCAAAATAAACAAAATATACAAAATTATTTATTTGCAGTAGAAGAATATACAATATAAGGTAAAAGTAGGCTTATAACATACCAGCTGTAGCGATGGTCAGAGAAACCAATGAAACGAAACACAGTTTCATTTTGAATTTTTTTCACAATGTAGAAAATAATTTAAATCAAATAGTCAAGTTTTTCTTTCGTTAGTCAAAAATAGGAAGAAATGTTCGACTGAAATTAATTTCTAAACTTTTGCAGAATAGAAAACGAAACCAATCACTTTGAATTTGTATAAAAAAGAAAAAAAAAATTGAAGACCAAATTTATTTTGAAGCCAAGACAAGTTAACACTTCGAACTCCAAGGTACAACTGATTGTGGTTGTCGTTTTGGAATTCAGGCCTCAATTGTGCTATTATGGTCATACCGTCACGATTCTATGCTCAGGTATTCAGTTGTCTGTTTGTACACATATTCAGAAAATATTGGTCGATAGCAAACTGTTATCATTAGCAATATGCCGAGAAACTAGGGTTTAAAAACGCGTTATTTTTTTCAGTGTTTCCTAAATGAAAAATAACGTTTTTATAACACCGTTTGCGTTATTTGTCGAAACGTTTGTAAACCCTACGAGAAACCTGATTAGAGGTCACAGTCATAAAGATATGAACCAGAGTCCAATTGAAAATTTATTATTTTTCCGCATGCCCGGTCGGACAGTTATCCGAAACACACATTTAGAAAAATAAATAATTAGCAAAAAACGATGTTTTTTTCATTGGATGAGACATAAGCTTAATTTCTGTTCAATGTTACAATAATGGTCATTATTCAATTGAGTTCAATGAAAAATATTCACTGTTGTAGTTTCCTTAGTCTGCATAATGACTTGTACTCAATATCAAAATGTTTCAAACCGACCAAATCTTCGGCTGCTCGCTGGCCATTTTAGGAAATTTCTATGTCTTTTCAATCGACTGACAAAAAATAAATAAATTCATTCTTAATTTGTTGAAAATTTGAACTTTGTGAAAATTTAATAAATAGTTGATTTCTGCATAGCGCATGTAACATATCATATCGTTCACCAATTCAGGAATTTTGGTCTATAATACTTCTTTAAAACGAATTAATGAGCAGAATAATAATCAGTTATTCACATAAATGAATTTTGTTTCATTTTCTCTCTTATTCTCCATTCCAAAAATGGATTTCAAACTATCAAACGAACGAACATTTGCAACACAGAAATCAGAATCAAATTAGAGGCGGTCAACTTCATAACCATTTTGGATTCCAATTGTCAAAGTCACTCATACAAAACAGTCGCTTTCATTGCACACGCACAAAAAAGCAAAGGAAAAAGGTAAGTGCCAAAGACATCAACATCAACATTTTTGGTAATTGATTCGTTTGGAATTTCTTCCATTGAATTCTATGAACTGAATGTTGTTCAGTTTTGATTTCGGATGGATTAAGTAATTTCCTGGTGTTTGATTCAACATTCCTTTAACAATCATTCACGTCTATTAGCAATATTTTGTATTTTGTGTACAGAAGATCATTAAATTCGCGAAAATCGCGTTTGAATTTTGTTTTTCTACCGGAACATTTTTGCTTGTGAGACACTTTTCACTTGAGTTGTCGTGTTCGAATTGCGCCGATAATAAGTCACCATATAGTCGGTCGAAAACAATATGCATTGAATGACACGTCAATGTCAAGCCGATAGAAAATTCCGCTACATCGATGTGGAGTGCCATTACTTTTCTTGATGTAGAGAACAATTTTTGATGACAAATGGAGCAATATTTGAACCCACAGTCAAAATAATGACATTTTTAATATTTTCTTTACAGATTTGGCATTTGAAGTCACGATGAACCCCTATCCAAGCAAAGGTACATGTGGTGGCAACGCCAAATGTAAACACAAGTGTAAAACAACGAATAGAACAGTCGAAGTCAAGGAAGAAGTAGTTGTAAAAGAAGAGCCAAAAGGCAGCGTAGAAATGGTTGGAGTCACAAGAACACCGCGACAGCCATCGGTGACAGGAATAGAAATCAGTGGCGCAGTCAAATCGGAGGCCGAGACCGACAGCGAAATGTACTTCGAATACAATGACGATTATGTGAAGAAAGAGGTGAAGAGTGAGGACGAATGTTTGAATAAGGAAACATAGAACACTCTGTATTGGAGTAAACGTGTGTGCGTTCACTCCAGTTCAGAGCGGTTGTTTAACTTACTAACACATGCGCAAGCTTGGTAGTCACTCAGTAGGGGAAAAAAGACATATACATTTATTCCATAGCACGCTGGTTTGTACCACACTGGAATAAACGTATTGACATTACTCCACTACTGAGTCACTAGCAAGCTTGCGCATGTGTTAGTAAGTTAAACAACCGCTCTGAACTGGAGTGAACGCACACACGTTTACTCCAATACAGAGTGTTCTATGTTTATTCCGTATATGAGCAAATATTCCCCAGTTTCTCGCGCGAATTGCTTGTGTGCATCTCACAAGGCACATTCGAGTCCATTCCGGTGAGAAGCCATTCGTGTGCGATGTGTGCGCTAAATCTTTTACTCGGAAAAGTAGTTTGCGTCGCCATGGAAAAACTCATGGTCTTCGACTGGCAGTTCGTTGTTTGAAGTGTCGACAAGAATTTGCTGAAGAAAACGATAAGATCGATCACATCGATCATATATACCACATATGATTTGTCACATTTGAAGTGTCACATGCGAACCCATATTGGAGTGAAGCCATTCGAGTGTTCGCTTTGTTCAAAAACATTTTCCCGAGATACTTGTCTTCGCATTCATTCACGAACTCACATCAAACAGCTTCCGTTCGCCTGCTCAAAATGTGGTCAACGATTCGCTGAAGAAAGCAAGAAACAGTCGCATGAGCAGCGATGCAAATGTCGACGATTCGAATGTTTCCAGAAAACCACTATGATGTGCCATATGCGACCAAAGCACACAGGTGAGAAGCCATTCGAATGAGCTATTTGTGGGATGAAATTTTGTCTGAAGTCTCATCTAAAACGACATTTGGCCACACATGCAAAGCCGCGACCAATTCGTTGCTCCAAATGCAAGAAACGATTCCCGGAAGAAGGCAAGAAGAATGCGCACGAAGGGCAGTATGTTCGCCGTCTTCATCAATGTTATCTGTGCAAAATCAACACAAGTCAATCAACAAATCTGAAAAACCACATGCGTGCTCAACACACCGGAGAAAGACCATTTCCATGCGAATTTTGCGAAACTCGTTTTGCACACAAATCCAACGCTGTTTGCCACATGAAACGCCATCATGATCCGAAGAGCTAAGCCACTTGTTGCCATTAAAATCACAAAAAGTGCCAATTCAAATGGGGTTATCGAAACAAAGGTGGAAACAAACTTATGAACAGGATCAAATCTAACGATAACATAATTCATTTTCAACAAATCTGAGCATTGATTGAATCAAATCATCAAATAAACAAAACGCCCGTTTCTTCTATTCAAAGTTCATGGACTTTCATATAAACGAACCATGTAATCAACAGACAGCCTTTTATCGCTTGATCATTTATGCTAAAATTATTGTTCGTTGAATTGGATCCAATGAAGTGTAAAATGAAAACAAAAACACTTAATTATGTCAAACTTGTAGCAATAAAGACATTCAACCTTTGAATAAAAATCGAAATGCGTTTCCTATTGAATTTTCAGGATTGCGATAAATAATGAATGTTTTCTAAAATTCAATGTTTGATTCATGAACATTATTCGTCGTGGTTTTCAATATACGACCAACAATCGTCGACCGTCTTTTATTGTTCACTAAGAACGGAACGTCCCATTACTTTGAACTACAGATAGGATCTTGATAGAATAACATTGCTTGGATGAATCTTGTCCTTGTTGAATAAATAAATTAGCATAAAAACTGATCTATCGAATTTAAAGATAATATTATTGATTAATCATATGAACCATATAAAATACTCTAGGATTATGGAATATATTTCATCCATGACATTTCAACACTAAATATTATTCGGTGAACATTCGACTCAAACGGAATCAGAAAAGCAATGATCTCAAAACTTACTTATTAATCTAAAACAATGCAACGGCTTTCGAAGCAAATTACAAAGTCATAATTACACAAGAAAGAGCGTACCTCAAACGAGTTTCACGATAGAAGATCAGTTTTATGCATGGTCTGATGTGTTCGCTGAAGTGCATAGCTTCACTTAATTAATTGCTGTAATAGAAATATTGTACTACATTGAGCTATCACCAGAGATGCTTCATACCGGCAGAGCTCCAATTGTCTGTTCTGATGAAACTTACTCATTTTCATTCGCTTCTAATCAACAAAATTCACATTGAGTCAAAGATCGTGTGGGTGGATTGTGAAAACGGCGACATTTTTTTTGCATTTGAACTCTTTTACGAAATGACCTACACCTATGATTAGCATCGAACACGAAGTGATTCAGAATAAAATGTGTCATGAGAAATTGGCCGAGCGCCTAACTAATAAATCCATTATAATTATTACTAGAACATTGGGTTAAACAAAATGCACTCAACAAAGCAAACCGCTCCGAGCAATTCATTGCTTCAGAAGCCCATTCCATTCATGTTATGCAAGCTGGTCTGTCACTTTCTACAGCAATCGAATTAAGAATATCTCTTAAATGCGTTAATTACGCGGCTCATGCGTGCTATGACTAAATGGTTCAGGTTCAATGAATGAACCGAGAGTGCAAAGAGATAATTGGCAGTTGGATGAGCCTATCCAAAAAGATCCACTGATAACATAATTGGCATTTTTATATCGAATTCATTCATATTTCGTGTAAAAAATTCATTCACTTCGTTTTTTTGTGTGCGGGCAAATAAAAGTCTCTTTCATGTTAATGATTTTGATGCTGGATATCTGTGGTCAATAGTCTGTTTCGACATATTGAATACGACATTTATTTTAAAATTCCCATCGATTGTTTTCCAAAGCCCCCATCAAAATAACCGATTCACATGCCGCGATTTACTTCTCCTTTTAAGGCAAAAGAGCCGATACTCAACCATTCGATCAATGATTGAACGATTTTATTGCGTTCTGATTCACACTTCGTTGACGTCGCACGAGCGATGCTTTAATTTTTTTCAATTGTTTTTAATTAAATCGTTTTAGCATCAACGGGCGCGTGTATGCTCATCAATTCATGAATGAAATGTCGAAAAGCATGAGATGTTCCGTATTCAGTGGACATTACTCACATCATCTGAGTACTACAAAAATTTGTTGCCGGTGGTCAAGATTGATACATTTTTTTTGTACAATCATTGTTTTGATTACAAAGAGACTTCGTATCGCTTCGGTCGGAGTGACGATTTAATTTTGATTTGGGCTCGAGCACACACTTCGAGACATAACGGTACTACGTCACTGATAAGGCGTGAATGCCAGGAATAGTAAGAATATTTCGAAGAAGTCTCTTAGTCAGTGGTTCTTGGTCGGCCTTTGAGTTGACCCCTTTCGATTAGATGAATCATTGAGGTAGCCACTGGAGCTATTTAAACAATTGAACATAATTCATTGGGAGTATTCTTCAACTCAGTGCGCAAGCGAACACATCTCGTTGTAATATGTGAGCACAGTTCACACTTACATTCATACACACGATATAGTTTTATTTCTACGGCTTAAGTGCAATTCATCAACGAATGGCAGCTTTAATTTTTAGAATCTTTCTTATTTTTGGGTAAGTAACGTTTTATACAGGAAATATTTCACACGCAATTAAAAGTTTGGTGGAGAAAATTTTCGAGTGCTTTTGGTGGAATTTTCCAAAGTGAAAATAGTGTAGTTTTGAAAGATGAAGTCTTTTTTGTAAGAAAATCATGATAAAATCAACAAAAACTTTAAATTGTGCAAAAGAAAGTGAAAAATTGTGCGACGAAAATTTTCGACGATTCAAAAGTTTTCATTTCCTGAATTTTCCAAAGAAAAATCTTGAAAACCCTTGTGGAAAACAAATGACTGACTGGCTGTAACTGAAATAGACTAATAAGCGATTTTGTATGAACAATAGTCGACTACGATTAAATTTTAGCCAGTCACTTAATTTGAGACGTATTTGACTGCAGTCAATTTGTGATTTTGACTGTGATCATTGTTTTTGTTCTGGGTAATCACTTTTAGCCAGTTAAATATATCCTAAAATAATCGATTGAATGATCAGTTAAAATATTTCCACATGGGAAGTCGTCGTCGGAAGAAAATTTGTTCGAGGAAAATGAATTATCGTACACCCAATTTTTAAATGAACAAATTGATTTTTCTTCTTACGAAAACACAAAAGATGTGGCAAGAAGAGATTAAGAAAGTTATTTTCCTTCACTGATTTTTTCTTCAATTTTTTTTTCGATTTGATTGAATCCTCTTGGAAGAGTTTTCCAAAAATGAAGAAAAAATCACATGCCTTGTTTTTATTGTCGACAATTTGTGCTTTATTACTCAAGAAAAATCCAAGTAGACGAAATTGCTACGCTTACCAAGTAGTATTTATATTGAAGTTTAAGGCGTCAAGTAAGCGCCAAAACTACTTGAAGTACTAACATGTTGAATCGAATCAAACCAAATTTACTTCAAGGCATTATTCTATTTCAAGTAGCTTCGACGCTTACTTGGCGCTTTGAATTTCTATATAAACGCTAAGCGTAGCAAAAATCTACTTTTACAAGCGCCAAGAAAGCAATTTCATCTACTTGGATTTTTGGTTGAGTATAATGTTAGAAGTGCCGACAATTCTACAGTGTATCTGTATATATGTGTGTGTGTCCTTCGAATGTTTTCGCGACAATTGTAACTTCATTAACTCTAACCAATTTCATTTTCTTTTCCAGATTAAGTGCGACTGTCATTCGTGCAAGAATCCTTTCATCGGATTTTGAGCAATATGAAATCGACGCTAGTTTGGGTTTATTTTTCGAGGAGTTATCCAATCTTCAGCTGTACCATTCAGAATGGACGTTTGTGACCCATGTAAACTTATCGTACTTCACTTCGGAAACAGCGCATCTAGAGCAAACCGTTCAAAAAATTCAGCAATTTTGTGACAAAGTCAGGGAAGAGTTCGTTTTACCAATTCCAAGTTCATATTGTGATCACACCGTACCGCTGCTGCAGAACTCATTGGAAGAAATCAGAGAGTATAGCACCAAATGGTTTATGAATTATGAATTCCAAAGTGAGCCACGATACGAAAATGAGTTCCGTGGTGTGCGTCGCAAAAAGCGTGGCTTCTTGGGATCGATTACAAAGCAACTATTTGGCACATTGTCCGAAGATGAAGGCAGTTTCTACATGGAGCAGATCAACGCATTAAAATCGGAAAATTACAATCATCTTCTGCTTGCCGAAAAACAGACGACATTATTCAAAGAGTCGCTAAAAGTACTAAACAACACGATACATTCGCAAAATGTTCGAAGTTCAGCGCTGCAAAAGCATTTCGATGATCTCAGTTTTGTGTTAAAAAATGCAACGGTCGAAGCGACGATGGCACAAGTGTCTGGTGTTTTAGTGGGTAAATTAAGTGAATTAATGCATTACACATCGTCCATAATAACGAGTTTCCGTGAAAAGCAGCGATATTTCTTCGAAGCGATCACAACGAAATCGAAAAGTTTCCAATTGATTCCGCCACAGCTGTTTCTGAGTGAATTGGAGCGAGTGAGTTTACAAGTTGCGCGCGATGGTCTCTTCTTGCCGATGGCGTTGTCTGGAGAGAATTTAGCGAAATTCTATCAAATCACAACGACCGAAGGCCGGATTGTAGACAACAATCTCGTCGTTCGCTTCTCGATTCCATTGGTTGAGAATAAAAAGTTCACTTTATTCAAAGCAACCAGTGCACCACGTCGAAACGATACAAACGAGCAGTTTCATTATATTGTTCCGCAAAATAAGTACATCGGTGTGGATGAGTACAAAGAAAATTTCGTCACTTTAACACTCGACGCGTTGAAAAATTGCCATCGAATCGCAAGCAACAGTTTGGTGTGTAAACAAACGTTCCCAGTGTTGACGGCAAATAATCACATTGGATGTGAAATCAATTTGCTGCGCAACATAAACATGACAACCGCTTGTGATTTTCGCACGGAAACATTGAACGAAGAGATTTGGACGCAACTACAATCGCCGAATACGTATTTGTACACATTGCCAAAGGAGAAAACGGTTGTTGTCACCTGCCCAAATTCACGGACAACAATCACGTTACATGAAACTGGTGTCATTTCCGTGGCCTATCGCTGTCGCATCAAAACCGATCGCATGGAAATCGTCGCATTCCAAAGCATTGAATCGAAATTATTACGGAATTTCACCGCTGCACCCAGATACCGCTTGAATGTTACATCAGAAATTGGAAATGCTAAACGAAAGAGCCCACAAATTCCAATCTTGAAACTGGTGCTATCGAATACTGAAGATATTGAAAAACTTTTGGAAATGAATGGAGACGTCGACGAACTTCAAATTCAAAATGCAATCAGCAAAGCATCAGCCATGAATGTTTTGAATACCATTATGGAAAACAACCAAAGTATTGGACAGATTCTATTAGCCATCGCTATTATCATCGTCGCAATTGCAATTGTCTTCATTTTCATTAAGTACAGCGTTCTCAAAACAGGGAACATCCTCATTTGCATCGTTTTAGTCGCAATTGCTACCACAACCGTATTGTATTTTATCTAGTTTTTTTGGACAAATTGAGACTTTGACATATATATATGTACTGCCCAAACGATACCAAAGAAACGAAGCAAATTTTTATTTGTGAAAAGAACGATTTATTTATTTTATTTAATAAGGCGAAATTTTTATTTATTCTAAACGCGATTTTTTTTTCATTGAAAAATGTTTTCAGAGTTTAAGAAAATGTCCAAATTTTGAACTTAAGTAAGAAATGTTAAGTTTACTTGCGTCCGAAATGTTTATTATTATGTTTAGGTTCATGGAAGAGATTAGTTTTAGAGAAGAACTGTTTTTTTTTAAATTCAGTATTTTATGAGATATGTAATATGAAGATCGAACTGATTTTTTAACACAAATTGTTAAGTTTTTTCACGAAATATGTTAGTTTTTCTTTAGAAATGGTAAATTTTCAAGGAAAATCATGTATTAAGATTTGACTACAACATTGAAAATGTAAATAGAACAAACCCTACTCTAATTTTATCATTAAATCACTCGAATTTACTTTTATATAAACTCTGATTTGGTTTTTCTTCACTTCTATATCACTTTATTTGCATTTGATATCGTCAACTTTCTGTGGTTTTCAGTTTCTTCTAAAGTATAGCCAAGTATAGCCAGGTCTATATAAAAGAAACTATGAACCGAACGCATGCGTTCTACTTCAAATGGAGCAAAAATTGAAATTGTTTTCTTTAATTGGATTCATTGAATTTCTCGCGCTTCTGAACAAAATGTAAGTAGCCCATGTATTAGCTTAAAATTTAACTTTCTTTTCCTATTTTTTAACTGTTTGTTTGCACACATGCTCAAAAGATTCAGAAAAGTCGAAAACTGGACGAAGAATTCAGGAGGAAAGTGTGCAACTTCGGAAGCATTAATAAGTTTATTTGTTGATATTAAAATATATCCTCGCTCGTTCACTTGCTGTCGCCGGCTGTGATTAAAATGTATCGAGTTTCGTTAATTTATCAAATGTTATTTAAATGGAAGCGGCTTAGAATGGGAAGTAGAAACAAGTAGATTGGCTTTAGATAGAGTAGTTCGGAAAAGAATTTTCAGAGGTTGAAACACTGATTCAAAAACTGACCAGACACCAAAAGGTATTCATGACCTTTAAATGTGTATTGTTGTTGTTGTTGAGTTTTGTTTGATTGAAACAGAAAAATATTGCTTGAAATTTTCCTTTTAATAAAATTGTCCAATTGTCATTGTAAAAATCTTCAAGCACATTTGAAAGAACAAGAATTTTGTTTCTTCTCCAAATGTATTATCGTCGTCAATTACACATCGCTTACTACACGACACTAGTGAGAGTGTATGAAATCATTTCACCAATTCAATTAAAAATTTTAAACGAAAGCCGCATACCTTAAAGTGTTTGAGTTGCAAAGATCAGTTTTATTTCTTTAATTAAATGCATTGCTTCACATCACAAACGGTCTCTTAATTAAGACACATAGTATATATCGAAATACTGCATTCCATGGTGCCTTACCGCGAATCAAATGAGTACTTAACATATGCATTGAAACGTATTAAATTATTCTTGGTGATGAAACACAGTTAATTCGAATATACTATCACAATCCAGTTTTTTTTTTCGCGTGGGTGCTGTTGTCGTAGCTAGAAAGAAACTATCATTTTTGCATTTGAACTTTTTTCTCCCAAAATGACCTACGTCGAACTGCAAGCCACAATTGAAACATGATTCACTCGTGAGAGAAATCAAATTCGTTGGAATAAAATGTGTCATGTGAACTGATCCTTCAAATTATTCACACTTTGAAATGTACAAAATAGTTAACTCGATGAAAGAATAACACTGACTTAATTCAATGTAAATTTAATGCGGAGTTCAATTTTTGTAAAATTTTCAGCAATTTCCTTTGGTAACTCCAGTGTGAGAAAAAATCCTTTGAGCAAATATTTTTTAATAGGTAACACTGAATATTATTTTGAAAAGGTGTCCTATAATGAAGTTGATATCGATCATTTTCTATCAGAAAAAAATATATAAAGAAAAGTTGCAAGTCTTTTTTACAATTCTATTGATGAAACATCCAATTGCTGATAAAATTTCCGAAGTAAATGTTTCCATTTAATTTCAAAGTTCATACATACAAATGCAAGAGCAAATGTGTCCATTTTTTTTACTATAGCGAAGCTGAAAATATGTTTTGATTTCAATTGGCACGTTTTACGATCTAAGAAAATTAGGTACTGTCGTTAGAAAGTCATTAATCATTCCGATAAATTCGATTAACTTATCAAATTCAATAAATGTATGATTTATAGACATTCCGAAGGCCCTTTGAATACAGCTTAATAATGTTATTAGGTCGTTATACAATGTACAAAACAGATTCAAATGAAATCACACCATGTTGTTCCAGTGCAGTGTTGAACTTGTCCCATAAACCTTATTGTCGAAAATCAGTTGTGCTCGTTGTGGTGATCAATTACTTCATTGTTAATGACCCAGAAGTCAGTCGGGGTCAAATCGATCCATAACCAATGCATAAGCCGTATCAAATCTGGAATTTACATCGGTTGTATCTTATCAATCGAATTAATGCAGATGAAGATATGGGTATAAGCTGCTCGTTCATCTATGCATCGACCCAATTTTCTCATCGGAATTCAAATTGCATTTTTAACCTCTCATAAGAATGGGCATTTGGTTTACAACCAAAAATGTGATACAATTTGAATATCAAATGATCATAAAAGTGTTATGAAAGAAATCAGATCAAACCAATGAAATACAAGCGAGCATTAATGCATTTACTGACTTTCGTATGATGCATTTTAAATGCGTTCGAATATGATTTGGTCTTTATTTCGCATGAAAATCAGAATAGGTTTATAAAAAAAATTTAGATCAAATTATTATTCAATTAAAGGATTGAATTTCAATCATTGAACCAACCTGTGGATTTTAGTCTTGCAGGTCGAAGATTTCTGATAGGTATCAACGACAAAGTTTGAGTTTTTGAGAAAATTTTCAACTTTGTCATGGGCATTTATCTGAAATGTTTATTCTTCTAAACATAAAATCACCAAAAATCATTTAAATTCTCAATTATTCAATTGAATAACATTCGATTTGTGAAAATTGCACTAGAAAAACCAGAACATGAACCGTTAACTTTGTTCTTAACCGAAAACAAATTCAATTTGATTCTCTTCCTCGAGTTAAATATGGCAAATGGTGTTTTTATCAATTAATATATTCTCATGTTTGTACGATTTGTATCATATAAATCGTATCTCAAAAATCAAAATTCGCTCCTTCATCAAAACAAATCAAATCCTTAGAAAAACGTGTCATTTCAAAGATATTAGTCATCATACGGACTACTTCTCTATTTTGAATTCCCATATTTAAATTGAATCCAATTAAATTAATTAAGGAGATGAATTGTTTTTCAGATGGATCAGTTGCTAGTGTGATTTGAATTAAAACTTGCGAAAAGGAGAATATTGAACTTATTCGCTCCAGCGCCATCTGTTGTAAGTACAAAGAACCGACAACTTTATTGCAAGTTCCACGATTGGGAGGGGAAATTATCGAAGTTGGTGCAGCACAGAGTGCTTTAGATATTCTCCTTGATGGTTTTTCTCCGTATTATTGTAGAAACAATTTTGCAACTGTCGGTTAGTTGAATTATGTTATGAATACTCGCTTTTAGCTAGTTCATGACATTGATTCCAGCAATGGTTTGAATAATTGAGGAAGATCAACGCACTCTTGACACTGAGCATTTGAAGAATCTTCATTGGTTTTTCATAAAACATGGACAATTGTTGCCATTTTGCCCATAAACAGATATAGCCAAATAGAATTATTTGGTTTGTTTATAAGAGTTAACCGAAAAGAGTGTACTCTGTGAGTATGATTAATAAAGTCTCCCGTGTGAAAAAAATGACTGACTGACTATAACTTCAGTTGACTTTAGTTGATTGAATTTATGTTTTTGTTCTAAGAAAATCAATTTGTCCCAAATGAAGCAACTTAAATTGACTTGTAACTTCAAATGATTTCAGTTAACTATGATATGATGAAATGTCAATCAAAGTTAGTCATTTTTGTCCGAAATTAGTTAACTGACTGGTCAGTTACAATATTTGCTCACGGGATAGTGATGCACTAAAATAACAACTTGAGAGTAAAAATTTAACATATCCTATACTTGATACAGTGTTGCATCACCTCTCAAACGTAATATATGAATAAGAACAAAAATTTATTCAAAGAAATTGTGTGTTCTATTCCCATTTTTCAAATCAGTGCAAAGCGAACTGAATGAGGGATCTCATTCATCTGCAAAATATGGAGGAAGTGCAATGAACTTACGTTATAAAGTATCAAAGTGTACAAATACACAAATCAAAATTTTGATCACAGTAAATTTTAAAACCTGCATGAGCGTTTTCTGATGCTATGTATTTTTTCGGACAAGGTTTTCAACGTTACGAGAAAAATATATATGTCTAAGAACGTTTGTTATTTCAGCCTTTTTCCAGGCGTAAATTACGACTAACTGAAATGATATAGCGAAAAATTATCTTCGACAAAGTTCTAGTGTTATTTGTGTTCTACAACTTTGCCGAAGATAATTTTCTGCTATCTCATTTCAGTTATTCGCAATCCACGCCTGGAAAAAGGCTGAAAAACAAACATACGTTCTTTTACGTCTCACAAATAGACGAGACACCACAGAAAAGTGCAGAAAAGTAACAGTCATTGAAAGTAATGCATTTAAACGATGGAACTATTTGTTCCACGCGCTACAATTTCAAAGTTTTGAAACGAAAGGAGCTCTAAAGGAGTCAACTTGCACACGGTATGTGCGATTGCAAGTGATGAGAGTATTATAAAAGTTTTGAAAACCTTCATCGAAGTAAAAAATCATAAAATTACACTTTTGTTTGACTTAGTTTTCCTAACGAAAGTTAAGGTTGTCTCGGTTTTCAAATCGTAAATTAAATGCAAGGTATTCGCATTAAGCCGAAATCTATTGATTTTGTAATATTTTCGGTATATGATTAATAAATAAGGGGGGATCAAATGTCAAACCTAGTAAATAATAATAATAATTGTCCAACATTTCCACTTTGAATCAATTATAAGACCAATTGCGTTTTTTCTTCACAAATTATACACAAATTCGACAAAAATTTCAAAGTTTTTTAAATCTTTGTATCAAATACGAAGTTTAGAATAAAAGTGAAATGAAATTATGAAGAACAACATATATATCATTGACATACGCAACTTTATTACTGAGCGTCGGAGGAAAATTCACTGATGAAAGGTAAAAAAGTGTTTCATCTTTTCCAAAGAAGTGTAAAAAGAATTTCAGACCATAAAAACGTTTGATTTCCACCTCGATCAGCATACAAAGTATGTTAAATGCTGGCAGAGTAACCCAATAGAGTAAACAGTATCTGGCTGAAAAATCAATACTTTGTGTCGCTCCACGAAATTGGTCGCCATCAAAGGAAACCGC